ACCCCATTATTTTATTTTTTTTAAAGATTTTATTTATTTATTTGAGAGAGAGCATGAGAGGGAAGAGGGTCAGAGGAAGAAGCAGACTCCCCGCTGAGCAGGGAGCCCGATGCGGGATTCGATCCAGGGACTCCAGGATCATGACCTGAGCCGAAGGCAGTCGCTTAACCAACTGAGCCACCCAGGCGCCCGCCTTTTTATCTTTTTTAAAAAAGATTTTATTTATTTATTTGAGAGAGAGAGGGAGCACACAAGCAGGGAGGAGGGAGAGAGGGAGAGAGAGAAGCAGACTCCCTGTTGAGCAGGGAGCCCGATGCCGGACTCGATTCAGGGACTCCAGGATCATGACCTGAGCCGAAGGCAGTCGCTTAACCAACTGAGCCACTCAGGCACCCCTGAAGCCTTTTTAAAAGAACTCTAAATACAATAATTATAAATACAATAAAATAGGATAACAGAAAGCTTGAAAAATAGAAGAAAACAGAGAAAACCACTATCCTTACTTGAAGAACTAGTATTTTATTTCCTTACAGTAGTTTTAAAATCATAATAGTAGGTGATCATAATCATAACATTTTATCTTTTTATCTTAGCATCTTACCACAAGAGCATTTCTCTAATTTCTTATGGAAATTATAATTTAAAGTAGCCACACAGTAGTACTCCACCTATGTTGGAGTATGATGGTCTAATTTTAATTTTTTTACAATCTGAAAGTAGTAAATGAAAAGTTTCTCTCTTAGTCAACAGCTATATTTATTGGACCATACTTTTATTTTTATGAACTTTTATAATGAGGGCAGTTTAAAATGTTGATGATACTTGCTTTTTGATTATCATTGTTTTATTCATAAAAAGGTAATATGTACTTCTGATATGTATCTATAAATATAATGTGAAATTCCCTGTAATACTATCCCCTTCAAAGGTAATCACTGTTAACTGTTACATGTTTCTTCAGATTTTTTTCCTATGCTTAGTTTAAGTCATTTGTTCATTCAGCAAACATATATTTTACTATGTGCCAGGTACTGTTGGTAAACCAAACCCTTACTATAATTAAGACATATTTTTGTTCTGTGCCCAAACTGTTGGATTCAGTGTTCTACTTGAGGTTGAGGTTTTGGGAATCGTTAACATTTGGTACTTAACTTGCAAAGCATTTTACACTTATTTGAGGTGTGTGGATAAATCAAAATTTAAACAAACTGCTATTTGATTTTTGGGACATTGTGTTAAAAATTAGATTGTAAACCTTTTGACTTTGGTGTAAGGTAAGCATAAGATTAATTACAAAACCTGTATGGTTGACTAGATATACTTGTTAGAGATAAATTTGAAGTTTTAAATTCAACCCAATACGTATGTATATATTTTTTAGGTAGCAGTCGTCTGATAAGTACATCCTCTTGGCGAGATGGACAAAAATTAGTAAAGAAGATCCTGGGGCCTGCACCCAGAGTGGAGCAAAAAGAGCGAAGAACAGCATCAAGTGACAGAAGTGGAAGAGAAAGAACTACTAAATCTGGTGAGTAATTATTAAATTGTTTCAATAATTAAAATTGTTGAGAAGAGCAATTAAAAATTGCTTGTGCAAGTACTTAGAGGAGATGAAAGTACTCTTGAGAATGGTTTTAAGAATTTGGTTTATAATTGTGAATGTGGCTCATAAAAGAAGAAATGTTCTGTTGGGCTTATCTATGGTTAATTTCTATATATAGACGTGATGATGACTTTTATTATTTGTTATATTAATTACATTTAGCTGCCATGTGAATAAAAAAGCATCATTTAGAGTTTATTAGACTTTTAGAGACCTTAAGGGAATTAAGTCCAATCTGTCTTATCCGTGTATACACAAACACAGGCACACATTCACAGTATTGGGTTTTTTATTTGACAGATTAGGAAACAGGCCCCAAGAGAGAAGTGATTTTTCTCAAGGGTATATACATTAAGTGGGTGGCAAAATTTGATCTAGGATCTACAGCTCTTTGGTTTGACCCTCAAGTGCATTGCTTTTCTCTTTTTGAAGTGTCTTTTTTTTTTTTTTTTAAAGATTTATTTATTTATTTGAGAGAGCGAGAATGAGAGAGAGTACATGAGAGGGGGGAGGGTCAGAGGGAGAAGCAGGCTCCTCGCTGAGCAGGGAGCCCGATGTGGGACTCGATCCCGGGACTCCAGGATCATGACCTGAGCCGAAGGCAGCTGCTTAACCAACTGAGCCACCCAGGCGCCCTCTTTTTGAAGTGTCTTAAATGCTCTTTGAAATAACTAGTTATCATTAACACTAATTTTGGGAAATGAAATGTAAATACCTACAGGCGAGGTTTCCTTTTCAGTAACAAAATTTGCTTCAATTAATTTGAACTTCTAGAATGGATTCAGTAAGAAATCAATTAAAACTATAATTAGGTATATATAGAAGTCAATATATACTTTGCATTTACTCCTCTTCACTCTCCTCTAGCTTGTAAAAACTCACATGCATTCTGTTTCAAATTAACCCACATCAACAAACATTTAGATTATAAAATGATTGTTTTTCTATATATTTAATTTCTTTTCTTTTACTCTTTGGAGAATTGTGGCAGCTTAACATTGTTGGTTTTTAAACACCTGTTTTAGGGGTTTAGGGATGGAGAGAGATAGTAACATTAAATATGTTCATGGGAGAGAAATAGTAACTCTCTATTAATAGTTAAATATTCATGTTAACAGTAAGATCTGTCTTTACTTCAGAAATATTAAAAATGCATTTTTTAAATGCCAAGTAAGTATAGTTCTTTTTAAAGATTGAAATTATTCTCTTCTAAGAAAAAGTTTTTCTTTCCTTCTATAATATTCTTTAAACAATTTCATAGGATATTTAAATTTGAGTTTAAGATAAAGTGAAATTCTCTAATTTTTTCCTCACTACAATAAATCTTAGGAATGAATATAGGATTTTAATACATCACTAACAGTTCATACTTTGCAGGGGGTCATATTGGAAGAGCAGAATCTGATCCTAGATTGGATGTTTCACATAGACATCTTCCACGAAACTCAGAACGTTCGAGAAGTAGAGCTCGGTGTGAAAATAATACAAAGAAATTAGCTCCATCTCTTCCAGATAATAAACAGGAGGAAAATACTGCCTTAAATAAGGACTTTTTACCTCTTGAAATTCGTGGAATTCTTGATGACCTACAGCTGGATTCTACAGTTCAGGCTGCAAGGCAAGAGACAGGAGAGTTACAGAATCAGAAGTCATCAGCACCAGTACAAGCTCCTAGGAGTCACAGCCCAGTAAAAAGAAAACCTGACAAAATAACAGCTAATGAAGATCCCCCTGTTATTTCCAAAAAGCGCCACTATGACACAGATGAGGTACGACAGTACATTGTTAGACAGCAGGAGGAAAGGAAGAGGAAGCAAAATGAGGAGAAGAAGGCCCAAAAGGAGGCCACTGAGCAGAAGAACAAACGGTTACAGGAGCTCTATCGGAAACAGAAAGAAGCCTTTACTAAAGTAAAAAATGTGCCTCCTTCTGAGCCATCAGTAACTAGGCGACTGCAGGATACTTATTCCAAACTGCTACTAGAAAAGACCTTGCTCGAAGAGCCGCCTCATCAACATGTGACACAGGAAACACAGGTAATAGTAGTGCCAGAAATGCAAAAGGAAGTCATTCGTGATTAGAAAAAGCTTATTCGCCATTTTGTTGCCATCATTCCTAATATTCAGGCATATGCTCAGATAATATTTGTAGTAATGTTGACCTTTTCATGAAATTTATTGTATGTGGAGAGTAATTTGATAAACATGATTGAAAACAAGTGCTCAGTTAGCATTTCCTAGAGTGATTGTTGCTGATCTCTATTCCTCTCATCACTGCTATTAGTTACATCCTTGCCTGGTTTTCATTGTATTACTGAGCAGAAAGTTAGATTATGTCAATAAAAGCCTGTTTCTGTGATCTGTGCTGAAATGAGAGAATATCCTACTGTATGTGATAATTTTGTGAGTATTGCTTTTGTTTTTAAGAATAATGTTGAGTATGTACCGTGTACCACAGACTGTTCTAAAGGCTTTATAGGCTAAAGCTTCAGTAAATCCTCATAACCCTGAGAAGGTAAATGCTACTGGTGTTTCCAGTTGAGAAAACTGAGGTTTAGAAAAAGTATTACTTCAAATTATGCAGTTAGTATTAGGTGCCTTTCTTGGATTTCAGATATAATTTTGCTCTTAATTATAATGGCTGCTTAAGGCAACCAAATTTGAACCAGTTTTATTTAAGAGAAAAAGCCCCTACATTTCATGATCTTTCTAAAGTTGAAGTGACTTAGTATTGTCTTATGTACTCCCTGAGTATATCTTTGTGATAGTAGTCACATAAATTTGATGTCCTTTTCTCCTAGACCAGACCAGGGTATCAGCCTTCTGGAGAATCTGACAAAGAAAACAAAGTACAGGAACGTCCCCTAAGTGCATCTTCTAGTAGTGACATGTCTCTGTCAGAACCTCCACAGCCTCTTGCAAGGTAAAAAGGAGAGAATGAAAGATGATTAAGCTTCTTTTTTTCCATGAAATTTAGTATAGTGGTCTATGTGTAGTGAATTTTGTTGACTGACCTTCTACGTGAGCAAGTTGTTTATTTAGAAATCGGTTAATATCTTCTGATAGGTACTTAAGCATGGTGTACAACTATACATATGCAAAAATACCCTCTTCTACTGTTCAACTTTTACCTGTCCTTTTATATCCAATGTAAATGTCAGTCCTCCCTGGGATCCTGCAGTTGGAAGCACTCTTGCTTTCTCTGGACTAAACACACAGTAAAACTGTGTTGGATGAATGAATCACAGTGAAATTAATATTTTAAAGTATTTGTGGTGAATAATTTTCAAAAGCTATGTTTGTATCTATTACTAATCGAACTTTCTTCATATGACTCATTCCAGTTTATCCATTGTACCTTTCAAAAGCTGTATTTGGATATGCATGTGAACATATGAACAGGGGCTAGGAACAAGGGCTAGATTGCTGATCAAGGACTATGTTACCTTAAGTTTTCTTAAGAAAAATTTTTTCTTGCTGTAATATATTATTTGCAATGAAGTAAAAGTAAACTGTGTATGGAATTTGAGGGGATTTTAAGATGATGTAGTTTTAAATACTTAAACCATTTTGGCTTCCTGTCTTCTGTTCTACCTTTCCCTGAATTTCCTTCTAAATAAGTTATACAGTGTTAAAAACAAATCAAATGTAAAACAGATCTATTATTACCTTGCGTGTGTTCCTTTCCTTTTCTTTTTAATATCAAATTTCTTCAACTTGTGATATATAATCTATTGCCTCCACTTTTCCCTCTACCCATTACTTAGGTTCCCCATTTCTGTTAGTAGTTTCAACAAATCTCTGTTGCTTTATGCTTGGAGGCATGGCATTTCTTTTCCTTGCCCTTCATGTCCCATATTCTTCATTAGCTACCTGGGAGGCTCCAAATTACATATCTGACCTTGAAGACCTTGAAGATCTAGCTCAAAAGCCACTTTCCTTGGCTAGCAGAGTTTATTGTTTTCTATCTACACTCTATTGAACTTTACATGTCTTTATATTAGTATTTATGACATTCTATTTTAACTATTTATTAGTCTCTCATCCCTGCTAGATCTTGAGGAACTAAAGAGTAAGGATTAAGTCTTAACTGGATTAACTGAATTTTTGTCTCCCCTGTTACTCTAGCATCAACATAGTGCCTGGCACATAATTGGCATTTTAAATACTTGAATTTAAAGATCTTGGATTTTTACTCAGCAATATCTTTTATATTTATAACTTTCTTTGTATTCCCGTTACTACCAGCTTAGTTTGAGCCCTGATAACCTCACACTCTATATTTTGTGGCATAGAATCTATGCACTAGTCTTCCTTCATTCCGTTTTCATAGCATCCCTTCAGTACACAAGACTGTACAATATAACTTCCAGCCAAATCTTGCATGATATGCTTTGCAATTCTCTTATCACTCTGGTTACCCTCCTCCAAATGATTCCTTTGAATTTAATTGGTAAGACTTTACATTTATCCATACTAGTTTGGTCAAGGTTGTAGCCTGTCCAAATCACTTTGAATTATAATTTGATAATTTTTTGGGTTAGCCATGCCTCCTAGCCTTCTGTCATCTGCAAATTTGATAAGCATATCTTTATGTCATCATCCAAAAAAATGGACAAGACCAAGGACAAAAATCTCATGTTGTTTTTTTATAAGCATCTACTTAATAGTTAACATTGACCTTTCATGTTTTTATAATATCCCTTAATATACACAGTGTCCATGGTCTGGAAACATGTTATTTATATAATGTCATCTGGGACATCTTTATTCTGTTTTTAGACTTTATGGACACCCTACTCTGTGTTGTATATTTATAATTGGTATTCATAGTTTTGCAATGATACTCATTGATGTTCATTAATTTTTTAAAATTGAGATTATAATCTCATTTCTTCAGTATGTACAATGTTAAACATAAGCATTTATTAAATATTTGTTGATTAGAATAATGAATATCATGCCAATGTTAGTATTTAGCAATCTTAAGCATTTCTCTTTATATAACATTTTTTTTAATTTTAATTTTTTTTTAAAGATTTTTATTTGGGGGAGAGAGCGAGCATGAGCGAGAGAACACAAGCAGGGGGAGGGGCAGAGGGAGAGGGAGAAGCAGGCTTGCTGCTGAGCAGGGAGCCCGCGTATGCAGATCTTGAACTCAGGACCCTGGGATCATGACCTGAGCCAAAGGCAGACGCTTAACTGACTGAGCCACCAGGCACCCCTGTATAACATTATTTTTAGAGGAACGGGTAGAGCCAATGTTGTAAAGAATTTTGTTTACCGAGTTTTAAAGGTTATGAAGCCTTCTCTTTAATTAATAGTTTAAAAATATGTGTTAGTTGAAGAAAGCAATTTGCATGATAACATTCCATTTTTATGAAAATAAAAATGCAAAACACGTCACACACATAGAAAAATGTTTTGGAAAGTTATAATTCTAAATGAAATATTAGTAGTGCCACTTTCTCATTGTTTAGCTATGAGTGATCTTTATCTTTTTTTATCCTCTTTGCCTGTCCTTTTTTTTTCCAGTGGTGAGTGTGCATTACTCTTACGAGAAAAAAAAAAAGTTAAAAAAACTGGTGGCTTAGTCATGAGTTACTGTGTTAACTAACATACTATGACTCTCATTTCCAGAAGGGACTTGATGGAACCTACATGGATGCAGCCTGACAGATTGAGCCCACGAGTCCAGAATTCTCAACCACAGCCTCTTGTTGGAACAGCTGGAAATTTACTCTCCCATCTCTTGAGTCTAGAGCATGTAGGAATTTTGCATAAGGATTTTGAATCTATCTTACCAACCAGAAAGAATCATACTGTGGCCTCAGGGCCACTAACTTTTACACCTCAACCATATCTGACCTCACCAGCTGCTCATCCAGATGCCTTGTTAAAACCTAGTGCCAGCCAATATAAGAGTAAACTGGATCGTATTGAAGCCTTGAAAGCAACAGCTGCTTCTTTGTCCAGCAGGATTGAAAGTGAAGCCAAGAAATTAGCTGGGGCTAACATAAACTATGGGTCAGTCTGGAACGCTGAGTATGATATACAGCAAACACCCCAAGAAGAGGGACCGTGGACCAAGGCTATAAGTCCACCTGTGAAAGAAGATACTGAAGATGTTTTCTCCGCCCGAATTCAAAAGATGATGGGAACCTGTGTATCTCATGCAACTTTTGATGAGGATCTTCCTGGTGTAGGCAACCTCAGTGAATTTAAAAAGCTTCCTGAGGTGATAAGACCTCATAGTGCCATATCAAGGTTCAGAATGAGATCCCCTGGTCCCAAACCAGAAGGGCTCCTGGCACAGTTGTGTAAGAGGCGGACTGACTCTTCCAGCTCTGATATGCAAGCTTCTCAAGACAAAGCCAAATTGTCTCTTGGTTCCAGCACAGATTCAGTCAGCGAAGGGCCTCTTCTTAGTGAGGGGAGTCTTTCTGAAGAAGAGGGAGGCCAAGATGGACAGCCCACGTTGAAGGTAGCAGAAATCTTAAAGGAAAAGGAATTTTGTGCTGGAGAAAGAAATGGTTATGAACCCATAAAAGAGTTTCAGAAAGAAGCTGAAAAATTCTTGCCACTTTTTGGGCACATAGGTGGTACACAAAGCAAAGGACCATGGGAAGAATTGGCAAAGGGAAGTCCACATAGTGTCATTAATATTTTTACAAAGTCGTATCAGTTGTATGGAAAAGGTGAGAAAAATAAGTAAGCCTTGTGCTATTTGTATGTTATCTTAAGGTAAATCATTTAATAATTCTGTACAAGGTAATACTTAAGTACAAATTTTCATTTGTTCATTTATGAGGATAATAGAGACTTACCTAAATTAATCTAAATTATCTGTAAGCTTCAACTAAAGTAGTGCAATTTCATTGTTAAAATTTCATTTTTTGTTGTTATTGTCATGAACCAATAATTGATGGGTAGTTGTAGAAATTTTGGTCTAATTTAGAGAAATTCATTTGTGGTGTTCAGGATTTGTGTGTACCAAGTGTATGCTAGATTTTCTGTGACCATAGTTATGTGTTTAGATAGAAAATAAGTATATTAATACAGTGATTTGTGAGTCATTGGGAATATAGTGGTCAAGAATCGAGAGGGGCAACTGTAGTAACATTCTAATATGGAAACTATTAGTGCTTGTTAGAACTAATTTTAAAAATAGACTTTGCTCTTGATCTTGGGGTTTTGAGTTTGAGCCCCACGTTGGGTTTAGAGATTACTTAAACTGAAAAAAGAAATAGACTTTGGACAGAAATGTAACTACATTTATTTGGTCATGAAACAACTGACTTCTAAGGTTTCTTATCTCTGAAATCCTGCAGCACGATTTTCCTTTTCTATGATAAACTCAGTTCCTTCAAGTCCCTTTCTCTTTTCTTCCTACTCTAGGTAGATTCTACCCATTTTATGCTAACATAACTTTAGAATTTCCAGGTTGGAGAATGAGGCTGACCCTTCAGTCAGCTATCCATATGCTGTGGTTTTTTATTTCCCTTCTACATAGTGAACAACTTACTTGATAAATGAATTGATTTCATCTGTTCATCTTATGCTTAAACAGTGCATTTTCCTAGAATTCATATTTAGCTACTTTGTTATGATCTTGTGCACACCTATACATGCCATCAATCTCTTTTGTTAACACTTATTCCTAGAGGTGGTAATTTTAAAGTTTTTTTTGGTGAAAGCAAAGTGCTTTTAAATCAACACCCTTATTTTTTTTTTTGCAAGAGAATTGTGTTTTTTTCTTAAATCGTATTAGATTTTCATTAAGATTTTATAATTATACTGAAATACTTTGAGTTGAAATGATGTGTTATCCAGGATTTGCTTCAAAATAGTCTGGGAGGGGAGTGAGAAATGGGGAGAATAGGAAATTTAGTTGAAACTAGATTGGTCCTGTATTCATAATTGTTAAAGCGGGGTGGTGGGTACCTTGGTTTCATTATGCTATTTTCTCTACTTTGTTGTATGTTTGAAAATTTCCTAATAAAAAGTTAAAAATGTATTGTTAGATATAAAGATAGATTGAAAAGAAGCACTAATAAAGCAAACTAAAAAGTTCCTAAATCCATGTTGGTAATCCGCATGTTGTGGAATGCTTTGCTTGTAGTTTTTTAATTTTTGTTTTAAAGCACATTTCAACGACTTACTTTTGACAGGGTTTGAAGATAGGTTGGAAAGAGGAACCTCAGCATCGCGTCCTTTAAATGTCATTACAACCCCTCTAAGCAGTGTTTCTTATGAAGATGATTTTGTCTCCTCTCCAGGGAGTGGGACTTTGACAGAAAGAAAATCAGCTCTTGAACCTAAGTAAGAATATGTTGACAATATGGGATAAAATCCAAAGAGTGAGAAAAATTTATAAATGAGAAGTGTGGTGTGACTATGAGTCAGTTTGTTTAAAGATACATGTAGAGTCTGCATAGCATAGAGATTAGCATGGGCTCTGGATCCAGACTGTCTGGGTTTAAATCCTGGCTCTCCTGATATTAGTTGTTTGCCTTCAGGCATATTTACTTAACCCCCTGTGCTTCAGTTTTCGTCTTTGTAAAATGGGGAAAATAATCGTACCTGCCTCAGAGTGTTATGAATATTCAGTGAAATATAAAGTACTTAGAACAGGGCCTGGCGCACAATAAGCAGAAAATACATTGTTAAGTCAATCTGTGAATTCCTAGTAGAGGATGGTATTGGGCAGGTCTCCCATGGTATACTAATATAAGAAGATTAAGTAATGGTTTTCTGTGATAGAAGCAAGGATGACCAGATAGATCCTTGACTCTATGATCCCAAGTAAATCAATACATTTTTTTTCTAATTGGGAGAACATCTAAACTTTTGCAAGGCTTTGAAAAATAACAATATTACAATATTAATATTTATTGGACACAGTGTGCAAGGCACTGAGAGGACTGAGGGGGTTTTGCTTGTATTAACTCATTCTTATAATAGCCTGATGTGATAAGTATTTTTGTTACTGTTCCTACTTCAGAGAGGACACTGAAGCATCCAGGTTATGTTACTTGTACAAAGTCATACAGTAAGTGAATCAGACTTTGCCAGAGAGAATTTCCTACCTAAATTTTGTTACCGTATAAAGTAATCTGTAATTACTCACATTCAATACAATTTGCTTCACAAATTACAAATTATAGTCCACATAAAATTATTGGGTGATCTTTTGAAAATTAGTTCTATCTGATTAAACTTATGAAAATAAGTATTACTAAAATTAAAGTGGGCAAAGTAGAGTTTTAACTTTTGAACTCTAAAGAAAAGATTAAATTTTTAAAACAAAACTTAAAAAGATTTAATTGTGACATTTAATATCATCAATCAAGATGATTTATTGCATTTTATTTCTAGGTTGAACATATTGGGAGGAAAATAATTATAACATATTAAATGATGAATTTGAATGGAAATTGAGACCACATTTTCCATTATCCAACATTATATTTTTTCTTTTATGTGTCTGAATTACCCATTTTTTATTAGTTTCACTTTAGTAGACAACTCCCGTAGATTTTTCTCAATAATAAATTGAGCCATAGGGAACAATCAAAGCTTATGTTAGTAAGAAAACCAAAAAGGAAAAGTGGAAGCCATCTTCAATTATAGTTATATTCTCCTTGTGATTAAATAGATTTTAAAATATCCATAGTTTTAGCTGTGTTTTAAGACTTTTTATTTTGTTCTTTAACCACTATTGCTTGTTCTTTGACAGTATTAGTGGTAGCAATTTGGGCGTTCAGGAGGACCATTCTAGCAGAAAGTCTGCCTATGATCTGTCCTCTGTGGATGTTACCTCCCAGCATTCGTCAGGAACCCAGTCTGCTGCATCGTCTCGTTCATCTACTTCTTCTAAAGGGAAGAAAGGAAAAAAAGAAAAGATAGAATGTGAGTGGAATTCTACATGGTGACTTTTTCTCTTACCAATCGTTTTGTGGTAGTGATCTAAAGTTATAATTTGATTCCATAAGAAGTTAGATTTATTTCTTTATGATAAAATGTGATTAGTTTTCATATTTATTTGTCATTATAGCAATACCTTTTTGATATATAACAGTGTAAATCCTTTGCTTAAACAAAAGGAATACATTTGCAATGATAAAAAATTAAGGATTATAGATAAACAATTGTAAAAGAAGTATTAGTCCCCATTGATCCCTCTGCTCAGAGATAAACTATTAACATTTTTGGTGCCTGTTTTTCCAATGTATACATAAAACCATGTACACCCACACACCCCTTTATTTAAAAAACAGAAATGAAATCATTTAGTTTTGCAACTGCTTTTAAAAAAACTTTAGGGGCGCCTGGGTGGCTCAGTTGTTAAACATCTGCCTTTGGCTCGGGTCATGATACCAGGGTCCTGGGATCGAGCCCTGCATCAGGCTCCCTGCTCAGCGGGAAGCCTGCTTCTCCCTCTCCCACTCCCCCTGCTTGTGTTCCCTCTCTCGCTGTATCTCTCTCTGTCAAATTAAAAAAAAAAAAAAAATCTTTAAAAAAATAAACTTTAGAGTATATCTTGTACATCTCAAGCATAATTAAAAGTACTCAAATTTCCTTATCTCTAAAATAAAGATGATATCAATAAATGGTATCAGTAGATGTTTCATAATGGTAATTTTGGAAGCTTATGTGAAATTAACAGATAAAATGTATACGTTCCAGTACTTGGCCACAGTACCTGGCCTTTGGCACTCTAAGTATTTTTGAGTGATTGAGGAGAACATCTATCAGTCCCTTCAGTTCTACTCTTGGCTATAATTTGCTCTGTAAGCCTAGAGGTAAGAAGATAGAGTAATTAGGAAAAGCCTCTTAGACTCACAGGATGGCCCCTAGGGAATGATTTTGCTCCCAAAATTGTTTTTTGTTTTGTTTTCTTTTTTTTTAAGATTTGATTTATTTGACAGAGACACAGCGAGAGAGGGAACACAAGCAGGGGGAGTGGGAGAGGGAGAAGCAGGCTTCCCGCTTAGCAGGGAGCCCGATGCAGGGCTCGATCCCAGGACCCTGGGATCATGACCTGAGCCGAAGGCAGACGCTTAATTACTGAGCCACCCAGGTGCCCCCAAAGTTGTTTTTCCTAATTGCAAAAATTGTTCATTAACTTAGCAAACCACAGGGGGAGGAGAAATCAGTAAAAAAACCCCAGAAAACTATTTAAAAATTAAAACCACCTATAATCCCTTTACTTGAAGATAACCAATGCTAATGTTTTTTTAAACTTTGTTTTATTTTAACAATTGTGGTAAAATACACATAACATAAACTTTATCATCTTAACCATTTTCAGGTGTACAGTTCAGTGTCATTAAAACACATTTACATTGCTGTGCAACCATCACTGCCATCCACCTCCAGAACCTTTGCATCATCCCATACTGAAACTCTGTATTCATTGAACAGTAACTCTTCCTTCCTCCCATTCCCCAGCCCCTGCAAACCACTATTGTGCTTTCTGTCTATGAATTTGACTACTCTAGATACTTCTAGATGCCACATAGTGACATCATACAACATTTTTCCTTTAGTTTGGCTTAGTAGCATGTTTTCAAGTTTCATCTGTGTGGTGGTTTGCATGAGAATGTCCTTTTTGAGGCTGAATAATATTCCATTGTAGGTATACACAACATTTTGTTTATCCATTCATTATTTGATGGACATTCTGGTTGTTTCCACCTTTGGGCTATTGTGAATATGTTGCCATAGACATGGGTTTATCTCCCAAATAACTGTTGGGAGTCCCTGCTTTCAGGTTTTTTGTGTATATCGCCAGGTAGGGATTTGTTGGATCAAATGGTATATCTGTGTTTAACTTTTTGAGGAAATGGCATACTGTTTTCCTTTGTGGCTGTGGCAGTTTATGTTTCTGCCGGTAACGCACACAGGCTCCAACTTCTTCACATCCACGCTAACACTTTTTTCTTTCTTTTTTTTTTTTTAAGTAGTAGATATTCTGATGGGTGTGAAATGTTAAGATTTTTAGTAAGTATCCTTCCAGATAATTGTAGGCATATATAAATAGGAAATGTTACATGTAAGGGACCGCATTTGTTTACATGCTCTTTTGTTCTGTCAGTGGGTTATAGATCTCTTTCTCTGTCAGTAAATATGGATAACCCTTGTTATGACTATCCAGTGTTTTATTATTTTAATATATTATAATTTATTTAGCAAATTGTTAGACATTTAGGCTACTCTATTTCTTTTTCCCATTATGAGCACTGCTGCATTGAATATCCTTATAAATGTATCTTTATGCATTAATCTGGTTCTTTCCTTTAAGGTAAAATTCTAGAAGTGAGGTAATGGGGCAAAGAGTATGTCATGTTTAGAATTCGGGTACATTTTGCCAAATAACCCCTTAGAAAGCTAATGCCACTTTATACTCCCAATATGAGAGTGCTAGGGAGAAATTATTGCTTAATCATTAACCTAGTATAACTCTCTTGCAGATTGTTCTGAAAGTTTTTGGTGGGAATTAGACATCATTCCACCAGCACTTCCCAATGTCTGTCTTTTCTTGTGAAATACTGTTTCAGTTGGATAAGCTGTTTCATAAGTGTTCTGAGTATAAAAGAGCTCCATGGTTCCATAAATTTGGGAAATGGTTTTAGAGGGAAACAGGCTTCTTTTCTACAGGATTTATCAATACTCCTGATATACTAACATGCATTATTATTTTAGGATGAGGATGAGGCTGTAGTATGAAGTATTTTCCAAATTTATTTGACCACAGAATCATTTCTTCCATCAGCATGTTAAGGCATTTGAATTCAGCTGAACATATTTCGGGAAATGCTGAACTTACTCAGTTCTTTTAGTTTGCAGTTGTTTTGCATTGTTTTTTTAGTGTCTCACCTAAGGTTACCAACTAGTTATTGGTAAAGCCTGGATCATGACTTCTGACTCCCAAATCCAGTTTACCTACTACTATAATATACTGTAAACAACTTAAAATATCATGATATATTGGATATATGAGTATAAGCAATATGATTCAGTATAGGTTTTTAAAAATTGTTATCTGAAACATAATTAGATGAAGTACAGGTAGTGTTTTGTGGCTTTCTGTTTCCCTGATCCCCTCTCACAAGGCCTTAAAAAACTCTGTGTATCGTACTTGATACAGCATTATCTAAAACTTAGTTTCTCCTTTATCCCCAAGTTCTAAAGTTAGTGTCGTTTTTTGTTGTATATGCTCCATCTGGTGGTGAGAAATAGTGTCTGCCTGCTCTGTACAAAAACTTCCCACATGATTGCAAGTGGTTGGTAGATTAAAGTGGTAATTAGCATAAGAAAAATTCTTTTATCTTAATGTAATTTAAAACCTATAAATACAATCTTTTATTTATTTTTTTAAAGATTTTATTTATTTATTTGTTTGCTTATTTATTTAAGAGAGAGGGAGAGCGTGAGCATAAGCATGAGCCGAGGGAGAGGCAGAGGAAGAAAGAGAGAAGCAGACTCAGCTGAGCAGGGAGACCAATGTGGGGCTCGATTCCCAAGACCCTGGGGTCATGACCTGAGCTAAAGGCAGATGCTTAACAGACTGATCCACCCCAGCACCCCTCATTTGGCAATCTTTTAAAGTAGGGGCACATATTTCCTTTGTGTATGGGTCCCTTGGTTGGAGTTTAGGTCTTTCTTGCATAGACCTTTGTATTGTCTACAATTTCTCGTTGTTTGAAATCAAGAGCAATTTTAAATTGTGTATTTATTTTCAAAGGTTAATATTAAATGAGTAAAGAAATGCATTTTTATTATGAAAAAATTAGAGATACCCAGTATTAACAACTTGCTTTTAGTCTAGGGATTACAAATAGATTTTAGATTATAGGGTCCATTCAAACTGATTGATAATCCTTTAGATTATTTGTGTGTCTCCCCCCACCCCCCCCCCCCCCGTTGTGGTAATGCATTCAGCATATCTGATTCACGGTACACATCTTTACATAGCTTCCTAGGATGAATTACTATGAATGAGATGAAATTTCTGATTCAAAGGGGATCAAAAATTATTTTCATGCATATTGTAAGTTGTTCTCCAGGAAGAATATATTAGTTTGCACTCCCATGAAAACAATGTATGAGTATCCTTTTCTGTGTGTGCTGAATAACACTCAAGGCTTTATTATTTTAAAAATATTTGTGGGGCGCCTGGGTGGCTCAGTCGTTAAGCGTCTGCCTTTGGCTCAGGTCATGATCCCAGGGTCCTGGGATCGAGCCCCGCATCGTGCTCCCTGCTCGGCGGGAAGCCTGCTTCTCCCTCTCCCACTCCCCCTGCTTGTGTTCCCTCTCTCGCTGTGTCTCTCTCTGTCAAATAAATATTGTAAATCTTTAAAAAAAAAAAAATATTTGCTAATCTAGTAATGAAAAATGATATCTTACTTGAGGTGGTTTTCATTTCTTTAATTGTTAATATTTTCATATGCTATGACTTTTCATTTTTCCTTTTTTAAACTAAATTTTAATGAAAAGTTGTTATCCTATTACTGTGACTACAACAGAGTATATTTATTTGTTAGTTTATTTTTTATGTGGTAAAATACACCCAACATAAAATTTGCCATTTTAAATATTATTTTCTTTCTTTGATTTTGTTTACTCTTTTTATTTTTTTAATCCAAAATGCATTTATTGGGATAGTTTCCACTCATCTTGATTCAGGGTGCTTTTTTTTTTTTTAAAGATTTTATTTATTTTTTTGACAGAGACACAGCGAGAGAGGGAACACAAGCAGGGGGAGTGAGAGAGGGAGATGCAGGCTTCCTGCTGAGCACGGAGCCTGACGCAGGGCTTGATCCCAGGACCCTGGGATCATAACCTGAGCCAAAGGCAGACACTTAACGACTGAGCCACCCAGGCGCCCCGACTCAGGGTGCTTTTATTGCTGCTCCTGCCTGAAGGAGCATCCTTCTGTAAGCCTTGCTTTTCTTCCTGTGGGCTGGCAGAGGACAGTGGAGCAGCCAGCACACAAAACTACCATTTGTGCATGGCTAAAGACAGTGGTGCTTTTGTAGCATCCTGGGTACTTCATGTCCATGAAGGAGGAGTTGGGGCTTGGCACCAGGTGCATCCTCTTATGCTTCCTCTTCTCCCCTTTTGGGCAAGTGGCAGAGGTCCTTTGTGAGGAGCATGTTTTCATGGGGAGGTCATCACCACCGGAAAGCTATGTACACTTTTTTTTTTTTTTAAAGTAGGCTCCACATCCAGTGTGGAGCCCAGCACAGGGCTTGAACTCATGACCCGTATCTCAAGACCTGAGCTGAAATCAAGATTTGGATGCTTAACTGACTGAGCCACCAAACACTTTTTTTTTTAATTGAAGTATAGTTGACACACAATTACATTAGTCACAAATACACAACATAGTGATTTGACAACTGTAATTATGCTATGCTTACCGAAAGTGTAGCTACCGTCTGTCACCATACGGTGCTGTTACAACACTATTGACTGTTTTTCCTATGCTGTACCTTTCATCCCCATGACTTAGTCCATAACTGGAAGCCTGTACCTTCCACCCCCCTTCACCCATTTTGCCCATCCGCCTATCCCGCTTCCCCTTAGGTGGCCACCAGATTGTTCTCTGTATCTACGGATCTGTTTCTGCTTTGTTTTTTTGTTCAATTGTTTTGTTTCTTAAATTCCCACATACGAAATCAAAAGGTATTTGTCTTTCTCTGTCTGCCTCATTTCACTTAGCGTAATACCTTCTAGGTCCACCCAGGTTGTCACAAATGGGAAGATCTCATCTTTTTTTATGGCTGAATAATATTTTGTGTGTGTGTGTGTACACACCACATCTTCTTTATCCATTCATTTATTGATGGATAATTAGGTTGCTTCCATATTTTGGCTATTGTAAATAATGCTGCAATAAACATAGGGGTGCATATATTGTTTCAAATTAGTGTTGAATAAACACCCAGTAGTGGAATTACTGGGTTGTATGTATGGTATTTCTATTTTTTATTTTTTGGGAACCTCCATACTGTTTTCCACAATGGTTGCTCCAATTTACATTTCCACCAGCAGTGCAGAAGGACTTCCCTTTCCTCCATATTTTGACCAATACTTGTTATTTCTTATCTTTTTGATACTAGCCATTCTGACAGGTGTAATAAGGTGATACCTCATTGTGGTTTTGACTTCCATTGCCCCAATGATTACTGATGTTGAGCATCTTTTCACATACCTGTTGGCCATGTGTATGCCTTCTTTGGAAAAAATGTCTATTCATGTTCTTTGTCCCTTTTTAAATCAGATTATTTGGGGTTTTTTTGGTGTTGAGTTGTGTCAGTACTTTATATATTTTGGATATTCACTCCCTGTTGAATATATCCTTTGCAAATACCTTCTCCCCCTTATTTTAACCATTTTAAGTGTCCGGTTTGGTGGCATTGAGTTTTTTTTTTTTTTTTTTTTTTACACTGTTTGCAACCATTATCTCATCCATCTCTGTAACTTTTTTGTCATCCCATACTAAAACTCTGGGCCCATTAAATAAACAGTGACTTCCCATTCCTCGGTTGTTGCCCCTGCCGCACTCCTGGCAGCCACGATTCTACTTTCTGTCTTTGAATTTGATTAGGCGATTTAACTGTTGCTAAGTGTACATTTCGGTGGTATGAAGTACATTCATGTTGTGTAGCTGTCACCATTGTGCATCTCCAGAACTGTTTCAGCATCTCAAGCTGAAACTCTGTTCCTCTAAGTAATAACTCTCATTTTCTCTCCCCCTTGTCTCTGGTAACAAATGTCTACTTTGTGTTTCTATGGATTTGCCTACTCTACGTACTTGATGTAAGTGTATGATCATACAATTTAGTCCTTTTGTGATTGGCTTATTTTAGCATAATGTGCTTTAAGATTCATCCATGTTGTAGTGTGTGTCAGAATGTCCTTCCTTTGAGGCACCTGGATGGCTCAGTCAGTTAAGCATCGGACTCTTGACTTCAGTTCGGTTGTGATCTCAGGATTGTGAGATCGAGCTCAGCTTTGGGCTCCATGCTCAGCGGCTTGGCTTGGGATTCTTTCTTTCCTTCTGCCCCTCCCTCCCTCACCTTTCGCACGCACTCGTACATGCGCGTTCTCTCTCTTAAAAAAAAATAAATAAAAAGAATGTCCTTCCTTTTTAAGACTGAATAATATATCATTGTATGTAAGTACCACATTTTGTGTATTCATTCATTGTTGAAGGACACTTGGCCTGCTTCCACCTTTTGGCTACTGTGAATAATGCCGCCGTGAACATGGGTGTACAGCATAATTGTTTCCTTTTTCATTTTCTTTTGCTCTTTAACCATATATCTACATTAGAAATATTTTTGCTGTCATTAAAGTGTATATGCAGTTCTTTTTTCTACTTTTTAAAATGTGACAAATTTTTTCTCACGTTGCTATTGAAACATAAAATCAGGCTGCCCTAGACTTAAAGTCATGAGACCTGTTTTTATGTTTTATTTCTGTGTGACCATGTATCCTCTAGCAAGTTATATAGCTTCATAGATTTCTAGTTACCTCATCAGTAAATTGAGCATATGGTATTCAGTTCATAAGATGTTTAAGAGCGATAAAGTAATATATGTGGAGTGCATTTTAAATTACAAAGTGCTAGTTAATGTTCAAGTTACTATTATCTATGTAATTTAGACAACTCTTCAGTTGTTGGAGATTTAGGTCAAAATTTAAAAAATTTTGAAGTTTTACATTCAATATCATGCATAATTTTTGTTTATTTCAATAATCTCCTTAAGATACACCTAGAAGTAAGATTATTCTGAGTCAGAAAATATGAGCAGTTGTATGAATCTGGCTATGTAGTTCTTGTCAAAAAGTTTTTCAAAATGATTGTGTAGTTCAGTTGGCTTTTTTTTTTTTTTTT